CTATGCGTTAATGATTGATGTGAACTCCGCAGTGGTCCGCTGGACGGCGGGTTTTATCCCGTCTTAAGTGGGCCACTGCACTGCTCAGCAGTTGCAATTGTTGCTTAATTGCAACTGCCGCAGTTTTTGGAGGACGCGCGTATTGAGGCTGCCGAAGTCCTGCGTCGGCATCCTCAATTATTATGAGTCATTGTTGCAATATTAGATTGCAACAGTGACCTGCTTATTACTAAGTGTGACGTTGTAAGTAAGGCACAGCGAGACTTACAAGTATTTATTTTCTAGAGACAAGCACACATACGAAATGTTCTCACATTGATAAAGATATTGATTCAATATTACTGAATTCTCAGTATTTACTCAATTCTAGTGCTTGGCTGTTGCCATGCGAATTCAACACGAGCCACGCTATTCGTTTATTGATCAACGACCGTTTCCCGCGCAGTAACGGGAACGTCGGGAACTCGAGTCTGCGGCGTCTGCGCACATTATCAATTTTTCCTCTCCACTCTCGCTGTCTCGTCGCTCATTGTCTAGTGTTTCATTCCTCGTCGCATCGTCACTTGGAGGAAGGGATGAAACGCTAGCGTGCGCAAGTTCCCATCACTGCCGTACCCGCGAAATCCTGCCATATTTATATTTTTTCTGTTAACTTTCTGTGTTAGACGTTTCAAAGTAACACGCAGTATTTGAAAAGAATATACGCATTACTGGATGTTATTATTACTTCTGGACTAAATATTTAAGCCTGCATTGTTAATATTCTTGTAACAATGGCTGACAAAATTGATAAAATATTGCAAGAATTGGTATTAGATGAATACATCAAAGCCTTCGAAAGTAAGTACAAATTTAACAAAATATGTAATTAATGTTTAAATAACTCCCAGTAAGCAAAAAATCATTACTATAATGTTATTACAACGATATTCAATAACATTGTAACATTTTCAAATATGTTGTATTTAACGTTGTATACAACATCATTATGAATAACCTTTGACCGCAATTTGAAGGTATCGGTAATGTTGA